CTGGGTGCATTAGCAGGGAGCTAGATTATAAGCCGAGCCGCTGGAACTTGACCTGGTGTTGGTGTCACAAGCAGCAGCTTAACCTGCTGTGCCACAATGCTGGCCCCAAGGCATTGTTTCTTAAAGTACTTTTTTTTTTTCAGCCCTATCTTCTTTCTCTTCTACTTTCAGATCTCTCTGTTGATACACACATGAGATCTTACATTTCCATGCACAGATCCCTGCAGCTCTGTTCCATCTTTTTCAGCCTGTATTTCCTTTGTTGGTAGATAGTATCTGTTGTTACATCTTCAAGCTCACCAGGTGTTTCCTTGGGCCCCACTATTCTAAGGCTGAGCTCATCCTCTGAAGTTTTTATTTTGGGTGCTGTACTTTTCACTTTAAGAAAGGCCACTTAGTTCTTTGTATTTTCTGTTTGCTGAGATTTTCTTTTTTTAAAATGTTTATTTGGTTTTATCTATGAGGGAGGGAGGGAGGGAGGGAGATCTTCTATCCACTGGTTCACTCCCCAAAGGGCCACAATAGTCAGGACTGGGTCAGGTTGAAGCCAGGAACCTAGAATTCCATTTGGGTCTCCCACATGGGTACCTGGGACCCAAGAACTTGTGCCATCACCTGCTGCCCACAGGATGCATTAGCAGGAAGCTGATTAGAAGTGGAGTAGCCATGCCTTCAATGGGCACTGCCATACGGGCTGTGTTCCCCAAGCAGCAGGTTAGCCCTCTGTGCCACAATATTGACCCCACTGCTGAGGTTGTCTAGTTCTTTGCCACAGTTTTCTACTGTTTTCATTTAAGAATTTTCATAATTGTTGAATTGTTTTTATGATGGATGCTTTAACATCTTTGTGTATAATTCCAACATTTTTCTTATCTTAGTGTTGACATCTGTTGATGATCTGTTTTCATTCAGTTTGAAATCTTCTTAGTAAGTAGAACTTGGACATTTTGGGTTTCATAAGACTCTGCGATCTGGTTTAAGTCAGTTTTAGCTGGTTTTCTGACAGTTATAATTTGTTTGTGGGAGGTGGCGGGCACTTTCAAGGTACTGCTGATTAGAAGTTCAGATTTCTCACTGTGCTTCCATTGATACCCAAGTCGGGAGTTGGCCTCTAACTATTGCTGGGTGGGGTGGGAGTTCTGGCTTCCCCCTAGGGCTGGGAAGAGTTGGATTGTCTTGCTGCTCCACATGGGCTCCACTGACACAGGGGTAAAGAATGCATCTTTACTGCCTAGCAGGGATGAAAATCCTGATTGCTTCTCCAACTTTCTCTGCTGTCACCCCAGCAGAAGTGTCAGGTACCTGGCAAGGGGACCAGCCAGAGTTTTTCCTGTGGTGTTTTGTAACAGTAGGGCAATTATTTTCTAGGAGGTGTCTGTCTTTACGAGGCTCCCACTTTCCTAGTCCCATGGCTACAGAGAACAGATTTTGTTGAGACTTTTCATGTTTGCATCTGTTAGCATTTCTTGCGTGGCTGGCTTCTCCAGGACCCAATCTGAGACGCGTGTGAAAAAGGAATAAAATGAGACCTGGTGAACTCAGCTGCTGTATTTTTTGTTGGCTTCCCAGGGCCCCAGGATGTCTGCCGCCTTCTGTCCTTTTTGCAGAGTCTTCTGGTGTTTGTTTAATAATATCCAGGGGTTATACTTGTAATTAGCAGGAATAATAGGAAAAGGGTATATACCCCATCTTCCTGGAAGTCAAAGGCCTATCCTCTTGGCTTCCATGGTCTTCCTGTATTAGCTATCTAGTACTTTTAGAGAATATCAGTGCTTTGAGGTAATTTTTGTAATCAAAAATTAAAATGATTTTAGAATGGGTCTCATGAAATCCTGATATTTTTCTTGATAACACATTCTGTATTTTATATCATTTGAACTAAGAATCAACACTATCTTTCGGCCAGCAACCAGAAACCTAAGCTCTGATTCATAATCTTTGACTGTTCAGTTCTGGGAAACTGGACCCATCTCTTGGTATTTCAGTATTCTCCGAAGAATTGAGTGTTGAACTCATTAGATCATCTCTAATTTCCTTCTAACACTCATCAATTCTATTACTGTTAAGAAAAATCTAAACTTTCTGTAACAGGGTATGAAATATGTTGGTATTGGTTAACCCAAGTAAAATCCTCAGGGTTAGGTAGAACAAATAATGATATCTATCATTTATTGAACCCTTAAAGTGTTCCTGGTACTTCAGTGGTTACAAACATTTTTTTCATCTAATCCTCAAAACAATCCAATGAAGTAGAGGTGACACCCATTTCAAATATGAGAAAACTCAGGCTAAGAAAGGTGAAAAATATGCCCAAGACTATTTTGTTGTAAAGATGTACTTGATTCCAGTTCTATTTGATTCCAGAGCTGATGAGCACAACCACTTACATATACCTTTTATTTTTATTTTCCTGGCTACTTTGAAAGAAGCAAATTTTTTTTTTTGGAAGTATTATCTTAAAGCAGTTTCTGGGTAACTAACAGATACATTTTATTAATTTCTACAGTCATTTTATTGTTTGGTTTCATTTTTTTAGCTACAAAATTATAAATACAGAAAACAGGTGCCTATGGCTAGTTTTTCATTTCTTCTTCTTATTCGTCCCATCTATTTAGAAAGCATTACTATCCTTGATAGAGGAATAAACTAAGGATTGTAAAGTATCATTTCTCAGGAACAAAAATTCAGCTTTCCAACCATCCTTACACTTTGTAGTATCTCAGGAATATATTAGCTTTCTGTGTGAGTTTTACTCATTTATGGAGAATGGCTAAGGAACCATTTATACAACTATATGAGCTAATATGAAATTTAAAATAAACACTATGACAAAAAGAACAGAAAGAATGTCAAATTCTAAAGTGTACAATAATCTAAGCACCTTGAAACTGGTTCCTAAAAACACTTCATAGAAATATTGTTTGGTTTTAATTAAATGAATATGTATTATAAAATTAACGAATATCTTTCAATTTGTTTTCATACTGTCTTAGAATCAAAATTGTGTTGAGACAAGATTTATCTTCTTAATCAAAATCAGTTCTGTAGCTTGTATAGAGATGTGGTATATATGTGGTGAGAGACACACACAGACTGAACATGGGAGGGGTTGATAATATAAAAAGCGGGGACTACATTAGTCCTAAAGTGACCCCATTCTTAAATGTGGAGTCTCCCTAACTCTCCCCCTGGCGTGATCTGTGAGAGTTTGTCAGTCTGTAGGGGTATTCCAATGGAAGTCATTAAAATTCCCCATTACTGTGTGTTCCCAGAAGTACTAAGAAATAATTGTGATATAAAGTTGTTGCAATAGCACGTCTTTATAAGGACTTTAGAAAGCTGGTAATTGGCTTGATAATCTTGTTCTGAGATCAGAGTGTGCTTTTCTAGGAAAATGATGTTCTCTTCAAAGTTGCCAAGATTTGGGTAGATAGAGGACTGACTCCTGGTCTGCAGTTCGTTTTCTGCCGTAAACTCAATGTGTGAGGAGGGTGCTCCGGTGTAGAATTATGTTTTAGCTCAATTGAAATGAAACAAAAAGATTATCTGTAAGCCCAATAATACAAGATAGATAAAAACTGCTCAACTCTGTATGGGGTGGAAGTAGGAACAGGGGCGCAGCTCTGTCCCTTGGCCACCCCACTCATGCATAAAGCATTCTCTTTTGAACTTCTTTAGAGTCTGGGCACCAATCCTAAACTGGAGCCCCAGTCCTGCTATCAGTTACTGAACCACAGAGCCTCCAAATCTCCTCACGTGTGAAGTGAGGAGATCGAATTAGGTCTCGTGGAGCTGGAATAATCGGGGCAACCATTAGTGACTATATGTAAAATCACCAAACTTCTGTTTTGTTAGTTTTCTACAGCAAAAAGAAGATGCTTACTGTATGGTAACATCTGCATGCCTACCTCAAATTTTTCTAACAACATTTTTTTAAATGTTCTGAGGAAATGGCAAATATAAATGTAAAAATAAAAAAACCCAGATCATTCTTTTCCAAGCAATTTCAATCATTTTCTTCTTGCCTCATTTGCAATAATGAGCAGTGTGTTACTGATTCACTTAGGTAACACACTGCGTGCCCACTGCCTGACAGGCTCTGACTTGGGTACGGAGGCTAGAAAGGCTGGACCCCGAATGCCCATGGCCGCCCCTCCCCCCACGGCACACCGAGGGTCCCTAACAATGTGTTCTTTTCAACAGAATCTTTATTCAGGTTCTGTGATGCCATCTGCCTTCTAATGATCCCGATGGTGCCGCCCAGGGCTGTTTTCTTCAGTGAAAAGAGAAGTGGCACTCCTATAGAGGTCTACGCTTACAACAAGGGTATTTTGTCCAAGCAGGCTGGCTTTGTTGTAATTGGTCTTGGATCACCTTGAGCAAAGAGTACTGAAAGACTTTGCTTTCCTGCTCAGAGAGCTGCTCTTCTCTATGAAGATGGTGCCACTGACCAGAGGGGCACTCTCCCGCGTGCAGCCAGTACTACCGGATGCATTTCTGGGTTACTGAAGTTTTCCTGCGGTGGACTGAGGTCCAGAGAGAGAAGAGATTTGAATGAAGATGCCCAAAGAGGCCTTTGAGGGGTGAGAAGGGAATTGTGCAAGGTCTGCTCCCTCTAGCCTTAAACCCCAACTTCCCAGCTCTGATTCCAGCAACAGTTTGGGCTTACCTGCCTTTGTTAGGCTGGTACAGCTCCCAGCTCAATCCACAACCCAATCTCCCCAAGAGGGGGCCGACAAGCTGCCTCCTCCTCCTCTACCCGGGGCAGTCCTTAGCTCTACCCACCCAACTCTCTTGACTTACGCTCAAGCCCCACCAACACCAACACCACCATCACCACCACCACCACCACCACCCCCCACCCAGCACCATCTTCTAGGAACTGGCCTCTCCCCCATCAGTCCCCGCCCCTCCTCGGAGAGCACCCAATGGGTGGAGCCGGGGCCGCGGTAGGCGGGGCCTGAGGCGGGCCCATTTAAAGAAAGGCAGAGGGCGAAAGGAGGCAAGAGAAGAGAAGAAAGAGAAACCAAGGGGGCGAGGCGCCGTCCAATGACAAAGCCCAGGGGTGGGCGCCGGCCGCCATCTTGTACCGGGCGGCAGGATATTCACCCGCGTCCTCCGCCCTCGGAGGGGGAGGGGCGGCGGCGGAGGCGAGAAAAGTAGCGAGAGCCGCGCCGCGAAGAGGGCGCCAGCAGCGGCCGCCGCCGCGGAGCCAGACACGGGCGGGGACGGCGGCGGCGGAAGGCGGGGAGCGCCGGGCGGCCCCGAGCGGCCTCCGATGCGGCGCAACGTGAAGAGGCGGCGGCGCCGGCCCCTGGCCGCCCCGGCCGCGGCCGCCCGGTGCGGCGGCCTGAGCGCGGGAGGAGGGGTGGCGCTGGAGGCGCGGGAGGAGAAGGTGGTGTACTCGCGATCGCAACTGTCGCTGGCCGACAGCACCAAGGCGCTGGGCGACGCCTTCAAGCTGTTCATGCCCCGCAGCACGGAGTTCATGAGCTCGGACGCGGAGCTCTGGAGCTTCCTCTGCAGCCTCAAGCACCAGTTCTCCCCGCACATCCTGCGCAGCAAGGACGTCTACGGCTACTCCTCCTGCCGGGCCCTGGTGCCCGACCCGCCAGTGCCGCCCGCCGCCCGCGGCCCGCCGCGCCGGCCGGCTCCGCGCGCAGCGGCCAGGAGGAGGCGCCGCGGAGTCCGGGCGGCCGCCGCCGGGAGGAGGAAGCCGCCGCTGCCGCCGCCGCCGCCCCCGCCGCCGCCCGCCGCTGAGGAGACCTCGCCGGCCCAGCCCGCGGCGGCGCCCGGGCCCTGCTTCGGGGGCCGCACGCTGGAGGAGATCTGGAGGGCGGCCACCCCGACGCTGACCACCTTCCCCACCATCCGCGTCGGCGGCGACGTGTGGGGCGACCGCAGCCTGGCGGCGGCGCGGCGCCGGGCGCGCCAAGTCCTGCGAGTGAACCTGGAACCCGTGGTGAGGCTCCGCCGCTTTCCGGTGCCCCGGGCGTGAGGAGCGCTGCCGAGGGCGCCGCCTGCCGGCCCCGGACCCCGGGACGGAGCTTCCGCCTGGACGAGTGGACAAGTGTCAGTCGAGTGTTTACAGATCCGGCCAGGACCCTGTCCCCTAGTGCACTTTACGCGCGACGAAGAAGTCACCGGATGGTGTTCTCTGCCTGCCCTGCGCCCCCGGCACGCGTCGCCGCCGTCTGGGACTCCCTGGGACGCCGGGCTTGCGGAGGGGGCCGACAGCTGGACCGGCTGGGGAGGCCCCTCTGCTTCCTAACCCCAGACTGCGACGTCTCCAGGACTGTAGGGGCTATCCGTTTTCTCCCTTATGGACTCTACCTCACTGGTCTGGAAGTCCTACGAAGAAGTCACTCTCTTTTTTTTTTTTCCTCCAAAGGAATTTGATTTCGTGCTTGTGAAAAAAAAAAAAAGGCTAGAATTTACTTGCTCTTCATCGCCCTCCTCCCCTATTTTTTTTTTTTTTTTTTTTTTTGACTGCCACCCCTCTTTCTGGATCGAACATGCTTTGTGATGTTGCACCAGTTTGTGCTCAGGGTGTTCTGAATCCTCATTCGTTTCTGAATTTTTACTGGCTTCCAAAGCTTTGACCAAGGATGTTTTTAAAAGGTTCAAGCTTATGACTCTGAGTAGTGCGAGGATTTGTGTGACTTTAAATTTCCTGGGCTCAGTGATTACAAAGAGATGCAAAGTACAACTGTGTAAACATAAAGTGTTTCTTAAAGATTTTATACGGAAAGCTAATGTTTTTATTTACTGAGCTCCTAAAGAGAATGGTAGAGTGCTAAAAGTTCTGTTTAGGAAAAGTTGACTTGTTAAAATTCCTTTTAATTGAGTAATAATAAAAAAAACTGAATTGAAACACCACATGGCTTGTGATAAAGACAAGTGAATAAATTGTGATGAGCCGGAGCTGGTTACAGGACTAACTGGCATCCGACTGGATGTGATTTGACCTCATGTCTTGGTCCAACATATAAATCCAAGAATCTCAATTCTGGGATACTTACTTTAAAGTGGGAGCTGTGTAAGAGGGGTGAATATGTGTAAAGCTTGTTATGAAAACCATCAACAGAATACCCATTACAAGTCTCACAACTGTTAATGATCTAGAGGGAGGGTTGGGGGGGCATTTCTTGGTATCAAGTCACTGGTTGAAGTGAACTTTGGGCAAGAGAGATCTTTGTTTCCTTGTTGGCAGATAACAAGAAATGCCCAGACTAACATCGCTTTTATATACAGCGTGACGGTTGGGTTGACTTTTTTTGTCCTATGGATTTGCCTTTATCAGTTGACTTTTTTTGTCCTATGGATTTGCCTTTATCTGTTGACTTTTTTTGTCCTATGTGTTTGTGGTTGTTAGGTCTTTGACAGCTGAAGATACCAGAATCAAGCAGGCTGAGCCCCACAGAGTACTGACCCTTCTTTACGCTGTTACAGTAGTGTGGATACCATGTGGTCCAGTGTGGACTTTTTGATTATCCAAGTGCCTTTGGTCATTGGTGGCAGCAAGACTTAATGGTTCGTAGCTAGTGGTGCCACAACCAGCTTTTAACTGCAATACCTAAAGGGTCAAGTAGTGTTTCTGTGCCACTGTTATTTCAAATGTAAGAGTTCTGCTGTGGAATGATCTATCCCAGGCTGGAACTTGACATGTGAAATCCTCAATGCAAAGGTTTAGCTCTGCTTGGCAACTTTTTAGAAGGATACGCAGAGTTGGAATTTTGACTCTTGGGTTCCTAGAATTCACATGGTGTAGCTTTCTGAAACCGTTTTTTTTTTCTTGTAGTTTAATAGTCCATAATAGGAGTGTAATGACTTTAATTTCAGTGTTCTTTTGTTTAAAAAATGTATCTATCAATATATATTATGAGACTTTATGCCAGTTGCCCAGTAAGCCTCACAGTCTTGCTACTCGATGCATTATTACAAACACTGTCACATGAGTAAATAAAAAGGGAATAATTACTTAGAAGATGGAGAGTGTTACATTATATTTGTGTGATAGAGAGCTTGGACTCTTTTGGTTTGTTAGTTTCCATTGCCAATTGTATTTCAGATACATAGGACTTTCTTCCCAAAAATACATTGTTAACTTTTATAGCTAACTAGCAGCTGGAACAAAAAAAGTATTTGTACCATTTCACTATTGTACATAGTTTTGTAATAATTAAAAAAAATCCAATGGCCATATTAGAATGTAATTTTAATATATAGTTTATCCAGGTAGTTTCCCAGAGCATTTTGAAGTTAGGCTCAGCTGAGAAGTTGACTTTGCTCAGCACACGACTGAAACATAACGAGTGACACCATGCATTTGTTTTAACTCAGTCTCAACATACTTTCCACTTTTGCCTTGTAACTTTGTGTGCTTGAACTCTCATAAGTGCTTCTTTGGATTATTTGGGCTGTTTGATTTCGGTTGGGATCTGATTACTCATCGTGAATTCAATATGGTTCATCTGGGCTATTAAAAAGCTTGCCATTTCCGGTGTTTGAAATAAGCTAGAAGAAATCTTTGTATTTGCTGAGTTAGTTTTAGCAAGACCTGTATAACAACTTCAAAAATGTGAAGAAACATCTCATGTAGTTGACTAGTATTTTACCGGGAAAGGAAGAGTGTATTATGGGAACTTTTGAGCAGAATGTGAACAGAAACTTGGCACAGTGGCCTTTGCAGTGAGGCATCCATTTCCTGTCCTCTCCCGTGAGTCTGTAGCTCAGCTTGGGTGTAGTTTTCTAAAGAAATCCTGTGACCTTTATTCTCGCTCTTATATCATGGCACAAGTAGAAGGGAGCTAGGATGAAATTATCACCGTGCTGTGTTTTTATTTAATGTTTAACTCTTGAGTGCCTGTATGTGACTGGGCACCTCAATTAAGATTCCTTACGTCTTTTAACTCCTCCTCCTCCTCCTTGTCAACCAGCAACTTATTTTTACATTTCCAAAACCAGTGACGTGATTGTTGGGGGCAGGCTTGATGTTGATAGTGCGAAGTGTCACGGTAGTGGGGTGTATTTATTTTGTCTGAGTTTGAGTACTCTACTGGACAAGTGTTAAGCTGGTGGCTGACACCTATTGATTTACTATGTGCAAATAATAGTACTATTTTTCAGAAAACACTTGAATAAAAAACTCCAAAAAATATTTGAATCCAAAAATTTTAAGCAATTTTGAACTCAAAAGTTTTTTGTTGTTGTTGGTTTTTAATGGATTGCCACAGCACTCTATTAATTGGTGGTTTTTAATGAACATAAATGCCTAATATTTACTTTATTGGTGTGCTTAAATTTTTTTTGATAGACTGTTAATGTCTTAAGTGCGTTAGAAAGCAATTGTTTATAATGGAATGGAAGTGTTTCCCTGGACAGTTTGATGTGCGTATGATTAAAATTTACAATCTGGCTGTGCTTTCCTTTTTAACTTATTAACTGTAAATAAATTTTAGAGAATACACAATGTCTACTTTTCTAATGTTGCAAGTTTTTGAAATGGAATTTTATGTTTGCATGTGAATTGGAAAATACCAATCTGCAATTTGATAAATTTTGACTTCTTTGTGAACTTTGGATTTCTGGAAATCTTGATTTGCGTTTTGTCCTATCTTGAGAGTCGATGTTCCGTCGTTCTTTGATTATCTAATGAATCTCTAGCTACCATCCAGTTTGCCAACAGTAAATCATCCTTTAAGAATACACTCAAATTTGTGGCCGGCGCCATGGCTCACTTGGTTAATCCTCTGCCTGCGGTGCCGGCATCCCATATGAGGGCTGGTTCTAGTCCCAGTTGCTCCTCTTTCCAGTCCAGCTCTCTGCTGTGGCCCAGGAAAGCAGTGGAGGATGGCCCAGGTGTTTGGGCCCCTGCACCCGCATGGGAAACCAGGAAGAAGCACCTGGCTCCTCCTGGCTTTGGATCAGTGCAGTGCCGGCCATGGCAGCAATATAGGGAGTGAACCAATGGAAGGAAGACCTTTCTCTCTGTCTTTCTCTCTGACTGTCTATAACTATCTGTCAAATTAAAAAAAAAAAAAAAAGAATGCACTCAAATTCAGAGTTCTGAATCCTGGTCCTGCAGTAATGATAAAGGATCCAAAACTTCTATTCGTTCATACTGTGACGTAAAATAAGAGTGCTCCATGAGTGTTGCACAGAATCAGGGTAGGGCCAGAATTTTCATACCAGTCTGGAAGACTGTTCAGAATCACAAGGCTACTTCAAAAAGTTTGTGGAGAAAATAGAACTTTATGTTGGTGTAAAAAAATATTTTTTAAAAAAGATTTATTTACTTGAAAGGCAGAGTAGTGTAGGGTGGGAGGTGGGTGAAGAGAGAATATAGCTCTTCCATCCACAGGGTTCACTTCCCAAATGGTTGAAACAGCTGAGGCTGTGCTAGACTAAGGCCAGTAGCCAGGAGCTCCATGCCAGTCTCCCACACAGATGGCAGCAGCCCAAGTAGTTGGGACAATCATCTGCTGTTCTCCCAGACCCATCAGCAGAGAGGCAGATCAGAAGCAGAGCAGTACGGACTTGAACTTGCACCCCAACTATGGATGGAGTTGCAGACAGGGGCTTATTAACCCGCTGTGCCACAGCAGTAGCCCCTGGGCCAAAAAAAAAAAAAAAAAAAAAAAAGAAATATCCATAGTTTTACCAAAATAAGCTTTTACCTTAAACTTTTTGAAGGTCCCTCCAGCAAGGACTGGATTCACAGTCCTGTTGTAGACTGAATTTGTCTTTGCATCCAAGTTTCTGCCGGTAGTTGGAGGCAGCATAAGTTACTAGTTGTAGAGTCAAGAGTACGGGGGATAGAATTATTAAGCATGGCTTTGTGACTTGCTAGTGTTGGGACTTGAGGTAAGTTGCTTAAATCCATGTGCCTTTGCCTCCTCTACTATGACCAATTATAAAATGATTAGTAACAGAAGCCATTTGGGTACTGTAAGGATTGAAAGAATGTTAGTGCTAGACACTTGGAAAATGTTTAATAAATGCTATTAATTAGAGGTGTGCATGCTGGGAATAAGTGTCTGTACCCCAAGTGTGGTCCCTTGGGAGTTCAACTCTAGTTTTTTTCAGCATCCCAGGAATAAGAGTATGGTCTGGGGAAGCTACAAAAAAAATTAAGGCAATTTGTGGGTGAATTAAACTGAAGATGTAAAGAAATTATGTCTTTTAGCTTGTTGATAAGCCATTATTCAGGAAGCTGGGTTATGTTGATTTGTTAACAATGTTCCCTGTCAGAGATTTTCTATTTAAGAAATTAGGTCTTTTATTATATCTCTCAAAGACATTTAAAATGTGAAATTTAAGAATTTATGAAAGCAAGACATGGGGGCCCGTGTTCTGGTGCAGTGGGTTAAAATTGCTGTCTGTCCTATATAGTTGGGGTCCCAGCTTTTCCACTTCCAATTCAGCTTTCTGCTAATGCACCTAGGAAGACAGCAGAAGATATCCCAAGAGGATGTCATCCACATGGGAGACCCTGATGGAGTTCCAGGCTCCTGGCTTTTTGCCTGCCCCTGCCCTGGCTGTTGAGGCCATTTGGGGAGATAACTCAGTGGCTGAAGATTCTCTATATCTCTCTCCCCCCTCTGTCATTTCAAATAAATATCAAAAAAGTTAAAGTTCTTGATAAAAGGACTTAGGTTGTCAATTAAATTGTCCATTTGAGTAAGTTCAGTAGAGAGTACTCAAGACTCATGTTAATTTGCATGAACAGAACCAAGCTAGAATTAGTTTGTGTGAAGTTTGTGCTTCAGGTGTTAAAAGCAAAATGAGTATAATAGGTGTTTGAAACATCAGGAAATAATTACTTAAATGTAAATATCCTCTTATTTGAGACATTGACACACTGAGTTTTAAATGCTGGATATAAAGCCTGCAACTTAACTCTAATCCTTAACACAAAGAATAACAGAACATATTCTAAGCTGGTGAGCAAGCCAAAGTCACAGAATCCAAAGCTGATACAGAATTTCCTGGCAAAGAATTGTTTAGAAGTCATGTGGGAGCAAGACCTCAAAACTGAGCTTGATTGCAATTTTAACAAAAGCAGTGACCCCCACTGTCAACACTGTGCCATATCTTGGTAAATGGCATTTTAAATAATCTATGATATAGTAAACATATCCCAAGTCCAACTTGAAGGTAATGATCATAGTAGCACCATAAGATAATTAGCCCAGCAAATTTGAATAATACTCAGATTGGACTAAAAACTGGGCATATTTAGCTTCTGGAAGTATTCATAGGAAAGTTAAATTGAGATTCTTTCAGATAGTTAAATCAAACTCTAAAATGCGTACCTATTTCTCTCTTCTAAGTTTTTTTTTAATTTATTTATTTGAAAGAGCGAGCAAAAGAAAGAGGCAGAGAAAGAGAAAGAGAGAGAAGGAAATTGTCCTTCTACTGGTTCATTTCTCAAATGCTTGCAGAGGCCAGGGCTGGGTCATGCCAAATCCAGGGACCCAGAACCTCACTTGGGTTCAGGGACCCAAATATCTGGGCTATCTTCTGTTGCCTTCCCAGGTGTATTAGCAGGTAGCTGTATTGGAAGTGGAGCAACTTGGGACTTGAACTGTCATTCATGGGATGCTGGCATTGCAGGCAGTGGCTTAACTCAACTCTGCCACAATGATGACTACTATGATTTTTTTAAAGTACATATTCTTTAAATGTTGAGTTAAAGTGTAGAAAAAAATGTCTTAGTGTTCTAAATCTCATACACTGAAAGAATGAATTATTGAAACAAAAATATGAGTGGATCTTCAAAAGAGTTAATGACAATGTGTATTATGAAAAAACCTATACATAGATTTGAAGTTGTTTTGCACCAAAGTAAAAAATAAAAGTAACTTAATTCCATTTTCCATGAAGTTTTTGAAGTTATCTCCTATGTATAAAAATGCATACAAGTATACAGTTTGAATTTTCATAAACTCCATAGACTCAAGGAACCAGAATTAAAAAAGAGAGTAAACTATTATCAATACCCCAGAACTTCCCTTACCCCTTCCAATTACTATCTGCTTGTCACCCCTCCCCTAACAAACCATTATTCTGACTTCTTGCAGCATAGATAACTGTTGCCTATCTTTGGACTTTTTATACATGGAATTATATGTCATGTGCATAGCTTCTTTCACTTGAAGTTGTGTTTATGAGATTCATCCATATTACTGCATCCAATTATAGATCATTCTCATTGGCTTACAGAATTCCAGTGATAAGTTTATTCAACTCTTTATGGGTACAGTAGACTATAGTTTGGGGAAATTCTGAATAAAGCTCCAACGAACATCCTAGAACATGTTTTGGTGCACATATGAATTCCCCCTCCCCACCCCAAGGGTGTGTGTGTGTGTGTGTGTGTGTGTATGTTTGTTTTCTGGTCACAGGGTCCCAGGGATCCAGCAAATCAGTAGCTTCGGAACATACTTCCAAACAATGTTCAAAAGGTTATACCAATTTACATAAACTCTTATAAAATGTGCTTTAAAAGTTTGTTTTGTTTGGTGTTAGTCTTCCTTTATTCTTCAAAGCTAAATAAGTCCTGTTCCTTCTGCTTTTAATATCAAATGAAAAGATGTTTCTCCCTTACATTATTTTCTTACCATTTTAAAGCTGAGCTTTGAAAAAGAGAATGTAGTAGTTTTTCCTCTCCATCTTTTGTACACAACCAGCTCTGAAACTAGGAATAATGTTGACTACTTGTTAAGCCAAACCTACGGAATTTAAATTGTCACAAAAACCAAGTATTTGAGGAGACTTTGAGCTTAGTCATGTTCATTTTCTAGCCCTTTGGTCAGCATGACATTGAAATAATCCAAAACATAGTGGAGACGGTGTCTCTGGAAGGAACTACCTCGTGCAACCTATATAAGGTTGGTAATTCTAGAAAGTGTGGTGCTGAGAAGACTGGAGCTCAGAGAGGAGAAGAAGGCTTAGAAGGGTGTGTGCAGTGTCCGGATCTGCTTGAAGTTAGTCAAGAAGAGAAAAATTCTGTTGTGGGAAGCGTTGGCTCAGCAGAGCTCAGCCCTCAACGATGACAACAGGTGCTCATGGGCACTTATGTGAAGAATGCCTCCAGAACCCTAAAAGGGAGTTCCTGTTTTTCTTATTAGACAGAGTATTGGGGGGATTTGTAGTTCATGCTTGCATGTGCACAAGACTTCTTCACATCAAACATCAATCCTCTCTTTTTCTCTGTCTCCTCCTAGATTGTCAATTTCTCATTGGCAGGACCCACCTTTTCAGCCTTTGTATCACTCCGTGCGCTGTTGCTGGTCATGTGCAGAGAATTCTCAGTAATGTTTAATGAATAAAGTGTGCTTATGGAGTTTAGACAAACCTGAAACACTGGTTCCAAAATTTTGCAGAACTGGTTATGTTACTTCAGGTTTATGTGTAACAGAAGCAATCTGCCGTGGAGTTATAATTTTTTATAGTGCGGTGGGAGTTATGGTGCAGCAGGTTAAGCTGCCGCTTGGGAGGCCTACATCTCATATCAGAGTACCTGGTTTGACTCCCAGCTGCTTCTTGCTTCTGATCCAGCTTCCTGATAACGTGCCTGGGAAACAGCAGATGATAGCCCATGGATGAGTTGGATGGAGTTCATGGCTCCTCATCTTGGCCTGGCCTATCCCTGACTATTGGGGCATTTGGGGAGTGAACCAGTAGATGGAAGATCTCTCTTTCTCCCTCCCCCTGTGTGTGTGTATCTCTCTCTCTCTCTTTTACTCTGCCTTTCAAATAAATAATAAATCTTATTTTTTTTGCAGAAACTTACCAGAGAAACTCCATGAATTCCTAGCCTTTGAATTGGATGAAGGCTTTGGCATCTTTTTTGTTTTATTTTATCCACTTGAAAGGCAGAATCAGAGAGGGGGTGGAAGCGAAAGATCTTCCATTTTCTGGTTCACTCCCAACATAGTCGCAATGGCCAGGGTTGGGCCAGAAAGAAGCCAGGAGCCAGGAGCTTCCTCTGGGTCTTGTCTTTCCTGTAATAGCCATTCTTACAGGGGTTCAGGGGCCCAAGCACTTGAACCATCCTCTGTTGATTTTTCCCACGCCATTGACAGGGAGCTGGCTTAGAAGTGGAGCATCTGGGCTGGCGCCACGGCTCAATAGGCTAATCCTCCACCTAGCAGTGCCGGCACACTGGGTTCTAGTCCCTGTCGGGGTGCCGGATTCTTTCCCGGTTGACCCTCTTCCAGGCCAGCTCTCTGCTGTGGCCAGGGAGTGCAGTGGAGGATGGCCCAAGTGCTTGGTCCCTGCACCCCGTGGGAGACCAGGATAAGTACCTGGCTCCTGCCATCGGATCAGTGTGGTGCGCCGGCCGCAGCGCGCCAGCCGTGGCGGCTATTGGAGGGTGAACCAACGGCAAAAGGAAGACCTTTCTCTGTCTCTCTCTCTCACTGTCCACTCTGCCTGTCCAAAAAAAAAAAAAAAAAAAAGTAATGGGTAAGACTGTGAGTCTATACCACAGGAACCACTTTGTAATCAATATTGCATTAAAAAAAAAAAAGTGGAGCATCTGGGACTCAAACCAGTGACCATATGGATGCCAGTGTCATAGGTGTTGGCTTTACCCATTATGCCAGCCATGGCCTAAAACAATTATTTTCAGAATAGTTT